TCCATTTTTCAAAGTACTAAATTTACGCCTGGAATGTAAATAGCTAGTAATATTTGATTTCGTGACAGTGCAAATTGCATACGACCTCGTTGACATAACTGGCATATGTTTGCATTGTGTCAGTAACTGGCATACTGCCTTGTTTTACTGGCATGTGTATTCCCTGTATATGATGAGTCTTATTTGACCAATTGAGATTGTAATTGTAACCATTCTGTTTGCCCGTAACTTATGCGAAATGTCACATAAAAAACAAAGATTTTGTGGCATAATAATGTTGATGGGTATTGAGGTTCAGATGAGTTTTTCTTTCTTTAGTTCTGTTCATTTTTTGCGTAAACTTGACCAATGTGAAGTGGCGGCGCCACCGTCGATAATGCAGGCAGCTGATTGGTGGATAATATGTGACTTTTTTCAAAATAATTATAATTCCAATTTTCTCCGCTTTATAGATAAGGATAGCGCTGGACGCTTTTTATTAAAAGTATAAATCTACCTTATAAAAACGATATTAATATTTTCTCCATACGAGTGTTAGAGAAATTTCTTTTTTTTTGTACCACAGAGTATAATGTTACTATATTTGTTCGAAGAGCTATTATTATTTATTTTTTGTTTGAGTAAAAAGAAATATTTACTTATATTTTCAAGTCGTTGCACAAATTTTATAGAAAATAGATCTATAAAGATCCATTTTCTTTAATTTTAAAAACATATTTGTTTCTATTTTTCCTAGAATAAGTACGCAAGATCTCTATTATTTTTTTAGTCCTTACCAAATAGTAAAAACTAAGAGAAACGGCCAAAAATTTCTAAATCATTTGTTCCTAAGCTCTAGTCATTTCGCACAAAACCATATTAGTAATAAAAAAGTTTATTGCATAAGAAAGGAAATTATTTATTAAAACTTTTAATTTTAGAATTAAAAGAAATACAAACAAATTATAATTTTGTACTATAAATAAAAATTAGCACAGGATACTACAAATTTAATATGTTTTGAACTATTTTTTAATTATTATTTTCAGCAATCATTCCATACGGAATAAAATTTAAAGTACCATATCTATGCAAAGGAATTAATATCAATAAAATTTAATTTAGTCTGTATATATGATATTTCAAAATTATTTACTAATATATGTAAGGCTTTGCAAGTTAAATTTTAAGATCATCTCCGGCCTTCGTTTCAATTCTACCAGTTTTAGAAAAAAGTGTTAAGGCAATGTCTCGTCGGGCATTATTCCCAACCGTCACCCCGCTAATTCCTCACGCGACAATAAAAAGTTTCATCCGTCCCACGTTTTAGTATCACAGTCACCAATAAGGTGACAGATGGAACCGTTATGAAATAAAATAAATTCCAACCGTCCCCTCGTCGCAAAAATGGGGCGTATGAAACTTTTTATTCTCCTAGGTTCCCGCGTGGGGACAGAGCGGGGTGACGGTTGGGAATAATACCTCGTCCGCCTTTATCGTTGACCTTTATATTGTTGTAAAAATAAAAAGATGAGCTTAGTTGATTTCTTGCCTTTTTAAGTTTTCGTTTAATACATAATATGTATTAAGGATAATATATAACTTTAAGCTGTCGTGGTTGTTACAAATATATCGGAAGCTGAAACAACCCAATCGTGGTAAGAAACCCGAAATTAACGAACATTTAAGATAAGAATTTCATATCTAAATAATTCTTCAAAAACATATCTATGTTCTAAAGCCTGATATGCTTAAAAATAATGTACCAAAACAGATAATAATCCCTCTTTACTTTTTCTTACCAAAGTTACTTTACCAGTTAGGTAAAAACATTTTTCTTCGCGGTTTGGTAACTAGTTGTTGAAGGGACATTTTTTCCTCTTTTGTAACCGGTAGGGTGAGCACATTTTTTTATTTCCCGGGCCATCTGTTACTATAACAAGTACTATTTAATGTATTGAATAGATTAAATGATTATTATCATGTATCTTTATTTAGTTATTTAATACATAATATATTTCACATGATTGGTATAAAAATAAAACATTATGTAAAAAATAGAGCACCACCGACTGCGGAATTCGATGACTCAAGGAATTAGTCAGGGCTGGAGCCAGGAACCTCCTCACAATGCGTGCGGTTTCTAAAATTACTGCCTTTTGAATAGAGCCCTTAATCCAACCTCGTGAGCCAGATCTAAATATTTTATTAATTTTTCATTTTCGGCTTTCTCGATATTCTCGTAATGTAGGATAATGATATCGAGTAACATTACACAACTCAGACCTATTATTACTATATTATCTATTATATTAATAAAAGGTAGGATTACTATATATCTATTATTACTATATCAGGCTTATCGGCAGGAAGAGTCCTGTCCGTAATAATAGATCGAACCCAGTAGAGCGTGATACGGCTATTTTCTAGAACTGGTGAAGACTAGTATTGGTAATACGTTACCTCTATCCATAAGAGCATACTTAAGAGCAAGTTGCTGATAGATAATTATTAATAATTAATGTTATTAATAATAATTGTCTATTATTATTATCCTCCATATATCTTTAATTTCTTATTTTTACATATAATATATTTTACATGATTTTTTATTAAAAAAAATAAAACATTATATAAAAAATAGAAGTCCACCTGCTGCGGACTCCGATGACTCAAGCAACCAGTGGTCAGGGCTGCAGAGACAGGAACCTCCTCACTATGCGTGCGGTTTCTATAATAACCGCCTTTCGAATCGGGCCCTTAATCAAACTGTCTATCGAAAGCTTCTTGAGATGTTCGAAGCTCTTCGCTATTAGCCCGTGTACCGAAACGACCATCGGAATAATGGTAGTCGATTTCAACGCATCATGTCGGTAATCTCGTGAGCCAAATCCAAATATTTTAATAATTTTTCATTTTCGGCTAAACTATTATTATTGTTATTTCTTCCCATTTCAAATAGTGGGCGTGTGGACACCACAGTGAAATTGTGAATCTTGTGGTTTCAAAGTAGTACCAACGTTTGGTATCTAGTAGCGTGGAATTGGCAGCTATTTTCCTTCATTTCACACGAGATTTTTTCCTATTGTTTTTGAATTGGTTCGTAATTTGTTGTACAATTTTTTTTCTTCATTGTGCAGATTTTTTTTTAATTCACTTAGGGAATTTTTATGGCATTCGGAGTTGTGAGGGTTTTCTTTTTCTATGTTACATTCATGGCTTGTTTTGTTCTCTTTGCAACCTGGCTTGTTACAATGCCAGAATTTATTTCCATTGACGTATGTTTTACATGGTATTCACATGCATCAAATATCAGTTTGGTGACACCTTTTGCTTAGTAAAAATACCAAAGTTTTCTCCATTTTTAAACAAAGTCCAACTGCCAAATGCGATTTTAAATTAATAACAAAATATGAGCCAGAATCATGTAAGAATAGCATGACAATCAATTCCTAGTATCTATTATCGTAATCTAGCAAAGAGTTTTAAGTAACACTCAGCATGTATAGTCTTGCTTGGATTTAATAGTACTACACTGTAGGTTGGACTGTATGTTCTAGTATATGTATGATACTGCAGTTAGTTTTGTTAAGAAATGGTGGCGGGGTGAATTGAAACGACCGGCATGTGCTTACGAAGTGAAAAATTTATTTGATTTTCTGTTCACATATTTATAATTGCTATGTCTTTTTAACTAGCCCACTTTTAGTTATTACTAGCTGTTCCCGTGCGACTTCATCCGCATGAAAATTTGAAAATTTTATTTTATTGTTTACATTTGTCAAATTCAATTCCAAATGTCAAAATGACATGACATGATGACGAAGTATGGCAATTTTGCTTCCTTGATGTTGGCAGCAACGTATGGTTACTTTCCCACATTAGGGTTTTTATCCAAAATATTTACCCCGTAAGTTTAATGGCGTTAAAATATATAGCCTAAAGCGTGACGCAAGTATAGGGCTTTTTACTAAAAAAAGAATTATTTTAAAATATGCCGTTATTGCTGTAATCTTAGGCAACAAAGAAGTGTGTGTTTACGCTTTATTATAATAAGTATAGATTATTATTATTTTGAGTGACACACTACAGTTGCATAAACAGCATGCTTTGTGTTTATTGGTACACTACTGTCTGCCCCTCTCGCAGCATTTTTGTTCATTAATGTACTGCTTGGATTTACGACTACAGCATATCTTCTATTAGGATTATTACTCTTACTGGCAGAGTCCTCCTTTCTTTCCACCTCTGAAGGAAGTTCTAACTGGTACAATCTTTGAAACGGCCGAATGTCAAATCCAGAAGCTGTTTTTACCTTAGCGGTTCTGTCTGCACCATGTCTTCCTGAATAAATCTAGATTACTAGTCCCTGTGGCCATTTAATTCGTTCTTCAAAGTCTTGGATTGTGTCTGCTCCAAGTCGTATTGTTTTGTAGCGGATAGTAAAAATGGGCTCGAAGTAAATCCAAAAACAAATCTACGATGCCTGTATTCCATTTGATCTTACTTCCTTGCTCTTTATTTTCGCCGTTACAGAGTGAGTTGTACGTGGTATGGAGACGGTTTACATCGAGATGGGTATTTACATTCTTCATTTAATTCCTTCTCTAAACTCTCTTCTTCAAACGGCTCGGTCGCCATTATTGGTGGCATGAAATTAGAAGTTTGCCCACGTTAACAAAAATCTTGACTGGTCACTAAAGTGAAAGATAATCCCTTTTCACAAGGTACCATTGTCATGAACATTCTAAATCGCAATTAGTAACCCCTCAACGCTACAGCACATGTTGAAATAATGTTTTGGCTTTTAATTTTTTTATAAGCCGGCCGCCTGCGTGACGCCAAACCCTGCTAGGGACTACTAGATAACTATTCATAAGTAATTTGTTTTGTAACTAGTTACTTTTAAGCAATTAATATAATTTTTACTAGCAATATTAATTGAAACACTACACTAGAGAACTCGCCGGGAATGGGCGCGAATAACCCCTTAATAACCCTTTAATGACATTGACAGCTGTCAGCTAGGGACGTGACGTTTATACCGATAATCTAGTGTTGCGCCAATTCTACAGCACGGTACTCATTTTCTTCTTATCATTACCAAACTGCGAAGAAAAATCTTTTATACCTAACGGGTGAAGTAACTTGGAAAAAGGAACGAGGGGTAATAGTCATTTGACATAAATTTAAAGTTATAAAATAATAATTTTAAGAAATTTATGTTATCAGTAGCTATAAATTTGTGATGTCTAAATAAATTATTTGTGAAGAATTGGTTTTTTTCTTTTCCTTTTACTTCCTAGATTTTATTAAAACTCGCATTTGGTGTATGCTCTGAACAATAGATGGCGTTATACAAAATTATATTTTAGATTAAGAAGTTTTTCAATTATTGTAACAATTTTAATTTGAACCTCGATTTAGGTAATAATTTTGGGTGTAATAAATCAAAAGTGGTTAAACAGATAACAAGTATTATTATCTAAAGTAGAGTTAATAATCGTCTAGAGCGTTATTAATAACAATGTTTTAATAGACTGAACACAATTTATATGAGTTGCGTTGTTAACATTTTCGACATTATAAAATTCATAAACGTAGAACACGTGGTAGGCCGAAACATAGACGGCTAGATGACGTCGAACGCGATCTTAGAATATGGGCGTCAAGGGCTGGAAGCAAAAGGCCCAAAACGAGACAGAATTGGAGAAGTTTACTGGACCAGGCCCAGGCACACCGGCGGCTGTAGGACATCAGATGATGATGAATTAATTCCTAAAACATTGTATTCCGATACAATAAAATATTTGAATTTTTTATAAAAGTCTGTAGAGTTTCGAGCAAGAAATTCAAATTTGAAATTAGCTAAACCTTTTTAGGCACCAACACAATTTCTAATTAGAAGTGTGAATTTAAAAATCTTGGCATATGAAAGCTAATTGTAAACATTGTCAAACATCTTTTTAATATTCATACTATGTTTCATATGCGAAACAAACTTCAGTGCTTTCCAAGAAGTTTATCCACTTTGCCTTCCTTTGATACGAAAAAAAAGAACTGGATAAAA